TCCTTGTTTTTCTGTCCAAATTGTCCAACTCCATCCTGGTCCAGTCAATTATTCCTGCAGAGTATCAAATCACAGGTATTGCCCAGGTATTTATGACTTTTATTATGTTTCCTCCACTCAATTTGGACTTTAATATCTTGCGAATTCGTCGAATGTACTTGGCTGAAGTTAATTCCTTGATTTTATTATGCATTAAGTCAGAGGCCTCTAAAATTCCCAAGTACTTGTAGTCTTCTTCTGGTTTTACTGTCTTTATCATTTCTTCATTCTCAAATTGCGTTCCATCATCTTCTAGGACCTTGCCTGCTTTGGTTGTCATTGTTGCACATTATTATTGTTGTTGTTATTGTTGTTGTTATTATTATTATTCCCTGAAAATTTTGAGACTGTTTTTGAGACAGGAGAAAGGTTAGTACGTTGCTGATATATTAGACTTAAGAATAAATACATAAATATTCTAGCTCATGTATCATAAATAGTTGGATTTTAATTGGTAGTATTTTACAATACTACCAATTTACAATCCAAAATATCTTTTCACTTGAAGCATTATTCTACAGTTAATGGCCATACAGATCAAGATCTTCAGTTAGCAAAAGAGAAATATTCCAATTTTGCGGATTTAGGATACAACCCAATCTAAAATCCAATGATACATGCACAATTGCATTGTTTGTTTACATTGTTTACAACTTTATGAGATGTGCAAACAATGATCTGATTTCCTTCAGGAATGAAATGAGATTGCATTAGTTTAAATAAAATTGTTGAATATTTTGCTATTCTTCTATAGACATTTTAAAACAATAGTTGCAAAAAATATGCAAATGTACTTCTTTTGAATGTGAAGATATTTTAAACAAGACTGAAATCTTGTTAGTCTTTTATAAATAAATCTATTTAGCAATTATTAGGCGCAGTAAGCATTTTTTTATATTAAAAGGAGTGTGTCTCATGTACTTTCAGAGTAATTTTTATTTTCCTTTTTGTGTATCATCAGATTCCTATGACTTGTATTGTTAAGTAAATAACATTTTAGTACAAAACATATTACCGTATTTTTCGGAGTATAAGACACTTTGAAGTATTAGACGTACCTAGCTTTTGGGGAGGAAAACAAGGTGGGGAGTGGAATCTGCCTTTGCCTCCTTGCAGAAGTACAGAAGATATACGCTGTTTATGGTGTTACATTTCAGACTATATTTGTACAGATGCTGTTAAAATTGATACGGCTTTCTGGAAGTATACATTATTCTCTGCTATTTAAAAGAAG